GCCTTGGCCTTCTTCTTCCCGGGGGCCACCCGGATGGGAACTGCATTCAGCGGCTGGGAAGTACTGACCTCACTAGCACCCCGAGGGGGGAGGACGGCCACAGTGACCTTCGCCCTCTCCTTTTCCTCTTCCTCCTCAGCAATTTGGACGGCGAGGGCCAACTCCTCATCTTCGGCGGTCCGCTCGAATTCCTCCGCCTCGGCCTCGGCCATCAGATCCTTCTGCACCTCAGTGGCGAGGGCTGCATCACCACCATCCGAGGGCTGACCGCTACTGGACTCCACGTCGGAGATGCCTTCGTCCTCCATCGAGGGCGTCCTCGAGATGTCCTGGGAATCGCTCTCGGACGACATTTTTATCACGAAGTGTGCCTAAGATTTCGAAGGCTTTCTACAGGACTAACCCTAATCTAAGGCCAGAGGGCGGAACTTACTAAAAGTTTGGAGAGGAAAGCGGGCACTGACCTTGAAAGCAGAGTTTTGACCGAAGGCTGGAGTTTCTCTCACTAGAATTTTTGGCAGAGCTTCGCTAAGACAACTGATCGCACAAGAGGAAATGGCTCTGGCCTTGGGGTATTTATAGGCGCTGGAATCCGGGCTTGGGCCTGGATTCCGGGCCTCCGGATGGACCGCCATCATTACACACCGCGTCTTCACCCAACCAGCGATGCCGCCCACGGACAGCCAGCCATCACACGCCACGTGTGCCCCCCCAACGGCTATATCCTGTCGTTACATATTCCAACGGCTATATTTCCAACGGCTATATTCTGGAAGCCCCGGGGTTTTCCACTTCACTGCTCTTGCTCTTCGTCAAGGAGAGCCTCCGGGTGCACTTACCCAGAGACGCCCCCGGGTTGTGCCCCACACAACACATAACAGACGCCTTCGGGATCACTCCTTCAGAAACCCAGGGCTTCATATCAGGGCACCCCTCGGGGATTCCCCCTCAGCACTGCAAAACCGGGTAGCCTCCGGGGAGTTGCCTCATTGACGGATAACCCATGGCACACAGGTAATGGGAGCCCTCGGGTATCTTCATCACCAACTAATCAACAAACAGTGGACCCCCCGGTAACAACTCCATTGCTGCCCTCATCCAGCAGGCCCTCGATCCCCGGATTGAGGGGCTCCCCTTCGGCACCCCCAGGACATCAACAGCAAGCCTTCGGCTAATAAACACATGAGCCCTCAGAAAAAGAAGAGCCTTCGGCATTACCGTTATTCTCCATTTTTGACCAAGGTTTGACATTTTCGATTCATCATTGGGGGAATTCGGTGCACTCTTTTTCCCTCATTAGGATTTTTTCCCCCAGGGTTTTTCCTAATGAGGTTTTTAACGAGAAATCCCCCCAAAATGAAACGAAAAGCGTCAGCCTTCGGCCCACAACAGCAACGCAACTACTCTAGTCCTTTTTACCACTTTACAAGTGCCTCAAGGAGTGGGGGACTGGAGGACCCCCTCGGGAAAATCATTAAATTACTAAATTACAAAATTAGTGAAATTCCAACAAACAGCAAAGCAAGCCCTCAAGTCCCGACATGTGGGTAACTGAGGGACTGCCTTCGGCAGGGACATAAAAGCAACAACTCCTCACCAACTTCAGAGGTTACGACAGGACAACGTCAAAAGGCAAGCACAAATTACTCCTTTTCCCTCAAGTACCTTTCGGCAAAAGGAGTGAGGGACTCCTGATGGAGTATATGGCCCGGGAACCCCCGGCCCACAGACTCCTACTACTCCAGCGAAGGCCCAACAGGCCCAAATCACAGCGCCCAGAGTACCAAGCAGCCCGCACTACGCGCCAGGGGTGCCTTCGGCCCCCTGGCCGAAGGCTCTAAACTCTCACAGAACGGGTTTCTCAAGCAAATTAAGAAATTGGGAGAAAACGGCGAACACAGTAGCCCTCGGCACTGTGAGCCCTCGGCACCAGGGTGTCATCGGTTGGAGGAGCCCTCGGCTACTGCTCTATAGCCGAAGGCATCTCACTCGACAAGATATCCGCCTCACATGCGTACAGATCACCGTACCCTACACAGACGTCCCATCCAATAGCCGCATTAAATGCGGCCACATGCGACTGCTAGCGCCAACCAGTTGAGGTGACCCCTCGGCCAATGAGCGCTTGACACGTGTCCCTGTCCGGCATTTATTGCTACTATAAATAGCACCCCATTTCCCCATTTGTAACCACGCTGAAAACGCCCCGCATTTATAATACACTCTCTCTCTCTACATTTACTTGCTCTGACTTCTCTCTAAGTTATTCCCAGCAATAACCCTTCGGATATATACCCCCGGGTAGACTATCCATCATCCATGTACATTATGAGCGATGTTGTCGTCTCGACTCTAAGTCTACCCAACATGACAAAGCACACCCTTTAACACAAAGTTGGGGAAATTTAAATAGTTTAATCGAAACCTATACGGCTGCCGATGTGGGAATATATTCAGGATCCCTTTTATTGTACTCATGTACGTAAAATAGGGGTGTGCTGTTAAGGAGTTTCTCCTCATTTCGGATCATCGCTTTTGATGTTGAAACAATTATAATATTTTTATAACTTCTACTATAAGTGATTGATTATAATTTCATTTGTGAGTTGTGACGTAGAAAATAATTAAAATATCTCAAATTTTCAAGGGTGTCAGATCAGTACCCCAAACTTGCACATGTACTATATATACCCCAAACTTTATATAAAACGTTTCTTAGCACTATTAGTATATATTTTTTCAAAAATGTATGTTTATAGTGTTAAATACATAATTTAAAATACAAAAAACTTTATGAGGGAGCAATTAAAATTATGTTTTACTGGATATAATATATTTTAGTATGCAGGGCCGGCTAGAGCAATTATGGGGTCCAAGAAAGTCACATATAAATTTTGTTTAAATATGTTTTTTTAACATAATGACAATTCAAACAATATCAATTAAGTAGAAGTAAATTACATATGAAATACGCTTTCTGTCCCGCTAAGATTATCTCGTCTTGTCTTTTTGGTTCGTCCCAATAAGATTGTCACATACCAAATTTGGTAAAATTTGTATGGCTTTAAATCATACTCCCTCCGTCCCTTATAACTTTGTCAATTTGTGCCTCCTGTTATTTCTCTCTCCTCTGCACAAATCTCTACCACATAGTTTTTACTTTATTATTTTACGTGTCGGTCAAACGTGACAATCCTTTTAGGGACAAAGGGAGTATTTACTTTATTATTACTTTATCAATTCAATATCAACCACGTAAACCAACTTTTCTTACGAGTTGTGCAACCTCCTCTTGTCCTAATGTTAGTGGACGACAGAGGTAGTACATCATATTCTTGTATTCGAGAAAAAAACATACAGAGAAAGAAAATAATAAAAACTACACCCAAGGGAATTCTCTGGCCTGAGACCTAGTAGTCATGTTGTGTCGCTTTTTATTTTTCTGAGATTTCCTGTAGATTTTGAGCTGCGTGTTTACGTTTTCCGTTGGCAGGCAATTTTCAGAGGTAACAAACTTGGATTTCCTACAGATTGCTCTGTTGAATTTTGATTTCTTAATTTCTTCTGGAGTTGAGATAGGTGGGCGACGCTCGTTTTCAGTGGCATGTCCCCGAAAGTCATCCGTGAAGCCAGAATCGTCTGATTGGTAAAAGTTATCTGATGCGTCTGAGTAAGCCTGGACATGTAGGGGCCGTTCTACTGGAGTAGGACATTTTTGTTTCTCTGAGTATGCCTCTCTTATTTGGGATTCAAAAATAAGTTTAGATAAAGATATGGGAAAAATACGGCAATAAGACTAAAACACAAACACTTTCTCTAAATATGACTTAAAAACTAAATTGTCAATAATATGACTACCGGTCATAGTTCATGAGCCTGGGTAAATTTAAAACGAACCAAAATTACCTCATTGCCCTGACATGTATGTCTTCCGTAGAATTTAAACCAAAAAGGAACTTTATTACGAAACGGAAACCAGCCGATTTTCTAGGCATGTGACACTCAGTTATTGCATACTGAAGAAGAAGGCATACGGAAGTATTAGGGAAATATTAGAGTAGTAGATGAACGTGGGTACAACAATGGAAGAATGAGTTGGATAAAACTGAATTTGGGCAGTAACTAAACCATTTTTTTGAGATCATTGAGTAAGAGCATTATGAAGTAGTAATTCCATGGTTGTAGAAATTAATCGGAAGTATTAGGGCAGTATTAAGGCAGACTAAGGGCATTGAATAATTTATGCTATTGTCTTACTTTTTACCATCTTTATTACATTTGAAATTTTTATTATAGAATAAGTTTAGTGTCTAGTGTGCCCCTGCTCTGAGAAATCTCTGGGTCCGCCACTGCTCTCACTTCTATGTGGTACCACCGTTCTATTTCAACCAGCTGCGAAACCACCGTCCTAAATAAGGACTTCACACAAATTAAGGAAATAAATTTGACTTTATTATAGAGTACATTGTTGTGACACTGTTTGACATTGTTTTGCACTGTTTTGATGTAGATAATTTGCCAAATAAGAAAGGGAGAAGAAGTGTAACTTTATTTTGGACCGATTCAAAAAGAAAAGTGTAATTTTTTTTAGGACCGGGGGAGTATAATTTAGATTATATTGGAATAACTAATACGGAGTACTATATTACGCCCACTCAAATTTGTAACTTTACGTTAAATATGAAATTGGAAAAGTAAAAATCGTTTGTTTGGAGTTAATGCAGAAGAAAAAGAAACGAATAGAGTCACAAATTCATTTTAAAAAAAAGAAAATGATAAAGTTTTTAGTACAATAGAATGAAAGTTGACAAAATGTAATGAAGATGGTATATTTATAATTAATATTGACAATTCTACGTAGTAATTGAGATTATTTACGTGATTTTCCTTCAAAAAAATTTCCACCGTTGAATCTTTGATACCTAACAATTTCCAAAAAAAGCAATATGTGTTAACAAACTAAATTCCGAATACGAAACTAGGAAAGTATGGACCGACCCCCAGAAATTCCCGAATAAATTCTGGCCTGACATTTCACGTGAACTCCCATTAATTCCCCAATAATTTTTTTTTGTGAACAATGGAGAACCCTCCTCCTCTGCTCATCCTCGTACCGGTCTTCGCTGCCGCTTTCCTACTCTTCGCCTTTATCCACAAAACTTCCCGGAGAAACAAATATGTGGGCCGAAAAGTGCCCGAAGCCGGCTTCGCATGGCCCATAATCGGCCATTTCCACCTCTTCGCCGCCAACAAACGCCCCACTCACCACATCCTGTCCGACATGGCCGACAAATACGGCCCAATATTCCGGCTGAGGCTCGGCGCGCGTGAAGTCGTGGTCGTGAGCGACTCCCAGATCGCCAAAGAATGCTTCACCCTCAACGACGCCGCTCTCGCGGGCCGGCCCGAGTCCATATCCGCGGAGCACTTCAGCTCCAACTACGCGGCATTCGCACTCGCCCCGGCCGGCCCGCTTTGGCGGGAAGTCCGCAAGGTCGTCGTACTCGAGCTGCTGTCCACGCGCCGCCTCGACGCGCTCAGGCGCGTCAGGCAATCCGTGATGAAAACGTTAGCCCAAGACATCCACCGGAGCTGGCTGGAGGCCGGCAGGAAAGGCCAGTCCTGTGAGGTCGCCGTTGTGCTTGACATGAGTGAGTGGTACTGGAAATTCTTCATTGGAACGATGTTCCAGGTACTCTTTGGGAAGCTGCACGAGGAAGAGTGGAGCTTTGCAGCGGCGGCGGTGGAGAGGTTCTTTAGTCTTATGGGTGCGACGGTGGTGGGTGATTACCTGCCGTGGCTGAGATGGATGGACATCAGAGGATATGAGAAGGCCATAAAGAAGACTGCCAAAGATATGGACAATCTCATGGAAGGCCTGCTTCAAGCACACAAGAGGGAAAGAGCAGGAAAATCAAAGGACGAAGAAGACTTCATGGATGCACTGATTTCCCACTTCGATTGCAGCAAAGAAATCGGAAATGGATTTGATGCTGACACAGTTATCAGATCAACTTGTCTGGTACGTGTTAAAGTGAGGAAAACAATAAATACTCCGCATATGATTTCTAATTTTTTGTTGATACCTCCATTTTTGTAAGTTGTAACCACATGGTTACTCTTTTGTCCTCTATAACTTTGTAACCTACTACCATAATACCGAGTCACACCTAGTAATTAATAGAGAAATTACCCAAGAAATTACCCAAAATAAGACTAAAAATATTTATATATTTCAAAATAGGACTATCATGTTTTTATTCTCAAAATAGGAGTAATTACCGTCATGTTTGGCAATACCAGACTTTAAACATGACAGTATTTTCCAAACTTGACAGTAATTATTCCTATTTTAGGAATAAAAACATGACAGTCCTATTTTGGAATTTTCAAACATTTTTATTCCTATTTCGAGAATTTTCCCTAATTAATAAGATCAATTAAGTATGGGAAAATGTGCAAATAAGCCCTCGAACTAATCCAAAAAGTGAAAATCACTCCTTTTATAGGAGTCTCTGTCGAGACGTCGCCATTTGGGGAGGTTCCCTGTGAAATTTTTTGATGAATTTTTCTGAGCATCTTCTTCGTTTAGTCTAGTTTACTCATACCAAATTTCAGCTATAAATGCAACCAGGAAGGTAGTAAAATGATTTTCTGAAATTTTGTATGTGTAAACTAGATTTAACGAAGAAGATAGCTCAAAAAATCATCAAAAAATTAAACAGTAACCGCCCCAATTGGAGACGTTATTTGACTCCACTGCAGTGACAGCCCCTGCAATGACTTACCGTCAGTGCATCCCGCCTGACGACCCCGACCACCGCTGTCTCAGTTTCTAACCCCGCACCTTGCTGCCCCATCCCACCCCTAGCCGAATCCGACCACCGCTGTCTCATTTGGCCGTCGTCATCAATGCTCATCGTCTCCATAGCCGCTGGGTTCGTCGTCGGTGTTGTCAATCCCAGTTGCGCACAACGGAAAAAGAAGAAGATCAAATGAGGCGGGATTCACGATGTAAGGGATGACAGCAGGGAGCGGCTGGTGCGTGGGAATAGGGCGGCGAGATGGCAGTGTGTGTGTGGAGACGGCGGATATGCGCGGAGACTAGTACCCGACGGCGGCAGATATTGTGCCCTAGATCTGGAGCTTCTTTGTGGCTTTTGAAAGTGGAGATTTCCGTATTCGAGTATATTAGGAAGATGGCGTGAGTAGATTTCCGTATTTGGGTTAGCCACTCAGCTAGTCGTGAGTTGTGTTATTTTGGTTAGAGAATTAATAGTAAGGCCAAATATCAATTAATCACTTTTTTGCCTAAAATAGAAATAGTTATATTTATGTTCAACAACTCTAAAAGTAATAGTAAGGCCATTTTTCCTAGATTTTGTGGCATTTTAGGAGATCTAATTTTCTTCCGAGACTACCCTTAATTAATTATCTCTTTTCATTTAAATTATTTTCGACTCTTCCATCTTTAATTGGGGCTAATTTTTTTCACCATATTTTCTCTTTATTTTATGACAATAAACTTTTACAACTACATCCGTCCCACTTAAAAGTTTTTGTCTATTATTCTCCATTCAACGTAAATATTCTTAATCTTTTACTATATATATAATCAACTTTTATCAAATCTGTTTTTCTGCGACTTTATAAAACTTTTAATGTAGTGTCTGATATATAAATTTTATTTACTAAAAAAATCTTATTATTGTCAGGGATCCGTTAATTTTATGGTCAGTCAAATAGCGTAAATTGTCAATAACCTTTTAAGTGGTAATGAGAATAAATTGAATATATTCCCATTAATCGAAAATACCCAACAATCTAACACTCTCATGGTAATCTGACATTCTTTGAACCAAACGAGCCCTAGATGTTTCCATCTCCTCTTCTCTATTATCTCATTTTTAGATCTTTTCTTTACTTCCACAAAATTCCCCTCCTTTTCATATTCACATCTCCTTACCTCCTTTCTATTTTCATTTTTTCAAATCACAACTAAATTGGTAGACCGACAATTACAACATTGATTTGCACATTTAGAGGGAACTATTGTCTTTGTGTGAAAATTTCATCACAAAACTCAAATTTTATTCACACAAACAATCAAATTTGATAACATAGGCAACAATTGTTTGTGAGCAATGTTGATTTGCACGCACATAAACAACTATTGATTGTACAACAAAAAATTTCACACCACATACAATTATCTGTCAGTCTACTTTTGGCACTAAAACCAATTTTTGGGAACATACATTATGTTGGTGCCATCATATAGTTGTTTGTGACCTTCTAAACGTGTAAATCTTTGTGTACACAAAGTCACATGATATTTATTTTAGACTTGGTGATCACTAGGTTGCATAGTTTATTGTGATCTTTATAGTGATAAGAAAGTTTTGATTTTGGAACTTAACATTCTATGGATGATTTTTGTGGCAGAAAACCCTATTATATAATTTTATTTTTTCGAGCCATCCTTGAGCTTTTGTTTTCAACAATCAATCTAAGTTGGTTTCTAATTCAAACTAGGTCCCATATTTATATATTACAGTCAACATCACCCCGCTCCAGTAAGTTCACCTTTTGAATTGTAGCAATCCAATAAAATCTTTTAAAAACCCTAGGCATGACCGTGAATTAACACTTTCACACACATAGTTGTTTAGATAAGAATTAAATCTTAGGAGTGACATGCGAGTGAATTAATACATTCAATTTGAATTATAAGAGACTAAGAGTTCTAAATTTGGGTGTTTATTCAGATAATAGTAGAAATCCCTTACTTTTACATCACCAAAAATAGTTTATTATTCTTTTTTTATTGTATTAATCAAAAGTTAAGCATGTATAGATAAATCAAAATTGCTTACTTGAGCATCATTCAGGTATTACTAAATGTCATTTATCATGTAAATGATGTTTTTTGTGTTAAGTGTTAACCATGAAGCACTTTTATATACTACCTAGCTCCGTCCCGGTGGACTTTGCCAAGTGCAAAGTAAGTGAGAAATAAGAAAAGTAAAAACTGTATGGTTGAGATTTGTGCAGAGGAGAGAAAAATTGCAGAACCACAAATTAGTTGTTGTAATTGGAAAGCGGTGAAGTTTTTTGGGACAATAAAAAAAGGGAAAGTTGGCAAAGTCCAATGAGACGGAGGGAGTATACTTTAACTTTTGTGGATGTATTGTTTACGTTACCAAGAAAGTGTTTACTCCCAATATCATCCTAACACTTCGTATGAGGTTAGAGGTGCTGATGATTCGTTTAATGAGCAGATAATTTAGTCTTTTCATTTTTGAGTTGAGTTAGACCATATAATAACTCATCTTTATGTTTTGTGACAGACATTATTGGGAGCAGGTAGCGATACAACTGTAACTACATTGACATGGGCTCTGTCTTTGGTCTTGAATAATGAGGATGTGTTGAAAAAGATCCGAGATGAGCTAGACATGCATGTTGGAAAAGAAAGGCTAGTCAATGACTCTGATATAAACAACTTGACTTATCTTCAAGCCGTAGTCAAAGAAACATTACGTTTGTATCCAGCAGGACCCCTCTTGGTACCCCATGAGGCTCAACATGATTGCACGATAAACAACTATTGCGTCTTTAAGGGCACACGTTTATTGATAAATGCTTCAAAGATCCATCGTGACCCAAGTTATTGGGCAGATCCCGATATATTCAAACCAGAGAGATTCTTGACAGATCAACACAGGGAAATTGATGTGAGAGGCAAACACTTTGAATTACTTCCCTTTGGAAGTGGAAGGAGAATATGTCCTGCAATTTCTTTTGCGCTTGAAAGTGTGCAATTAGGGTTGGCTAACATTATTCAGGGGTTTGATGTGAGAAGACCTTCAAGTGACCTCATTGACATGTCGGAAGCTCTTGGACTAAGTGTCACAAAGGTGACTCCCCTACAAGTTCTCATCACTCCACGATTGCCTTTTCATCTCTACCTTTGACATAATCTACAATGAGGATAAACTAAATGAAATTACTAAAAGTGGATTATCAAGAGTATTAAGTTTGTTTTTGATTGATATGATGTAAAATAAGTATTTGCATGCATGACAATGTAATATTTGTGTGTAAGTGCATAATCAAGGAAAATCATATCGGAAAGAAACTATGACAATTATGTTTGGTTTTTGAATATCTATGTAGGACCTCATTGAACTGAGTAAGTAGTTTGGGCTAGAATATATGGATGTAACGAAAAGACTTTGTCTATTCATCTGCGCCATTTATCTACCCAATAGTTGTCACATTTAATTTAGATGTAGTTACTAACTAGTATTCTACCCGTGCGATGCACGGGAAATAATCATATGACAATATACAACACAAGATAAAAATTAAATATTTGAAATATAAAATTAATACATAAATTAACTTTAGATGCATATATCAGAGTAGCATGTTTAATATTACCAATATAAATATATAAATGAAGAAAACGAATGTTGAAAATTTCGGAATAATAACAATTTGAAAACAAAATGTCTTGCAAATTTCGGAATACTTCCTTAAATACAACATTAGTTGTTACATTGGTACTTTTCCCATCTACATCACATATAGCTATTTTCAAACCTGCAGGATATATTAGTTACACGTGAAAGCGTAACATATAACTGACCATGACTAAAAACGTGTTTTTTCAAGACTAATCCAACATTGGACAATGATTGTCCTTGACTCTTATTTATCTTCATAGCATATGAGACATAAGAGATTAAGTTAATCAAGCAAAGCATGCCTATCTAACAGTACATCTTATATAAAAAAACGTTAATAATTTTAAGCGATTTTATAAAAAACAACTATAATCAAATACTAATTGGATATGAAAAAAATAACACTTTCAATTTTTCTACATATATTTTAAAATATTTATGTTATTTGAATTTTAAAATAAATATATTTTTTTATTCACATTTGGGTTAGAATCAATATAATACATCACAAATTTCAAAATAAAAGAGCCATCTATTTTTTTTTTAAAAATCTATCATTGAATTTTAAAAGGGGTAATTTGAGTTTGCACCCCATATTATTGTCTAAATTGGTTAGGGTGCAAAATTGTTAATGGAGGGGCATTTTTGTCTTTTCATATGGGGTTAGGGTGCAAAAACAAAGACTTTTTAAAACGGGCTGCAAAGTCCAATTTAGACAATAATATGAGGTGCAAATTAAACTCAAATTACCCCATTTTAGAAATATAAATTTATTTTATATCTTATGTTTATAAGGATAAGTTTTTAAAACATTTTTTTATCTGAATTTTAATATCATAAAAGATATATGTAAGCAAATATTATATCTACACGTAATGTATAAACACATATTTGAATCAGTCCAGATCATATTAATACAGCCCAGAATTTAGCCCAATCCGATCCTAGCCCAATAGCCCAGAACCCAATTTAGAAAAACACAAATCCCCACCCTATCGGCAAATTCAACAACCCCAATTCCCAGCCGTCCATCTTTGTTCTTCGCCGCTACCTCCAGAAGGTTACGCCGATCGGCAAATTCAGCAGCCCCAATTCTCCACGTCTTCCATATTTCTTCTTAGCCGCTAAGTCGAAAAGCTTATGCAGATTTAAAACGAAACCACCAACACAACAATCGAAACACGCCGCCACATCTCCACATAACTCCACCATAGCCGATCATCGTTTTCGAGCTCTGAGGTGTCTTCTATGTTGGCCGTTAAGTGTTTCAAGGTAATCATCAACTACTTTTGTTAGATAAGTGTTTTTTCTTACTAATTGTAAACTACACTAAGGAGATTCCCTTATATAAATGCATGCAAATTGCTAATTGAGTACTACTTAAAATGATGTTATTGTTAGTATAACATGCATCGTAATCTGTAAATCCCATTGTAATTAGGTCAACCGCTAATAGGAGTATAAGTCTTCTTTTTTCAAATTTGAAGCATAAATCAACATGTATTCTTAAGTTAATCTAGAATTCACTCTATTTTGATTATTAATCCCTTATGGGAGTTTACTGTTTAAAATTAACCCATATGTAGTGTGTTAGGAAATTGATGTAACGTACCTCGAAAGTACAGCAGCGGAAGTTTAAAATTTTCCCAAATAGATCTTCCCTGATTATGACAAAACAACGAATAAAACAATAATAACAGATCTGAGTCAGAACTTACAGATCTTCCAGCCCAGCGGTGATAATCCTTGACCTTAGGTATCCACGTGATTTCTCCTTTCCAAAAGAACGGTTAGATCTCCCGAAGAGAAAGGCTAGGAAATCTCTTCGCAGGGAAATAAACAGGTAATACTGATTCTAAAAACTGGTCTATGAATTATGAAGGAGGAGGGTGTATTTATACTAGTTCTAAACTAGTTTCCTAATCACAACCAAAGTCTTATTCATTAATGAGTTATAGTCCTACCAGAACCAATACATCATTATTAATTAAATAAGTTGGATAAAACATAATAATAATAATAACAATAGAGAAGTGGCTGCACGCCACTTCCTATACGTTATTTATTATTATTTAGTTTATTTTATTTTCCTTTTTAATTCCAAATCAATAAAAGAAAATATCAACTTTATTTAATAATAAATACACCTTAATTAGGTATAATAAATCTAATTTATCACAATTAATTTATTCTATCAAATAGAACTCTCCTTCAACATCATGAATTAAATATAGTTTAATCTAACTAATATTTAATCCATTTCAGTGTTACAAATTAAATATTATTTAATCCAATTAATATTTAATTCCTTCTAACAATTCAATCGGAAGGTATAATCACTTGTTGTGTGACCCATAGGGCCTTATATATTAAGCACTAATCAAATTAAGGTCTTGGCAAAATCCCTAGACGATTTACCAGACAATCTTAATATATAAGGACGTTTGCGAGGACTATTCAAACTCCCTGTAATATAGAGCTCATAGTGTAACACCCCCTACCCGGCCCGGATGTCTGAGCAGGGAGCGCAACCCGCAGTGCCGGAGCACCAAAGCGTCTACTAACTATTCTGTTTTAAAATATCTCATTAATACTTTTCTTTCAAATCAACCAATGAAAGTAATTTTGTGAATGTTCATGATTGCGGAAGCATCTTTAATTTTATACATGCCACATAATTGTTTAGTGTTGCTATTACATTATACTAGTAAGCTAACTACTAAAATTGAGACATTACTAAATGCAAGTGTGACTCTATGCTGATTGGCAGATTGCTCCCAAATGTTTTCCTCCTTGAACTTTGTTCCTCATATCAACTAGGTACCTACGCGAAGGACAAAATCCAACGCGCTAAGCAAATCTTTCTTAGTGGTGTTCATTCTTTCTCGATACATACTCAATATCAAATATCACATAACATATGTACAATTAAAAATGGCATTACAAATATAAATTGTATTGAAAATTAATAAAAGAATAAAAGTGTGAAAAAGAAAAATGATAGAGAGAATGACACAAGCAAATGAGTAGAAAATGAAAATTGAGCAAATGAAACTTAAAGTGAGACAAGGAGAAAGTTGAATGGAATATTGAATTACAACTATGATACTGCTTATGTGAATTTCGACTTTGACATGAAGCGATGAAAATGAAGACAGAAAGAATTGAAGGAAAATGTGGAAATAGAAATTGAGGAAAATGAAGTAAAGGATATGTATATAAAAATGAAAAAGGATAAGAGAATGTACATTATATTCCATTGAAGGATAGCTTTTGCTCATGTAAGAAAAGTATACTTTAATATTGTTTAAAAAGGCTATAAATAAATAAAAAATGAGATATTTACCACCCACTTAAATAAAGAGTAGAATTTTAAATTGGAATATTATACGTTCTGAAATATGTTGACTTTAGTATTTAGAACAAGTGAAAGAATATATATTAATCTAGCTATTTTGAAGGAAACGACATTTCACATTTTTAAATAGCTTCAGTATTTTGAAATGAGATATTTACCACCCACTTACATATGTTAGATTCAAAAATTATAAATGAGAAGTATGGTTTCAAGTGCTACAATTACGTACAAATGAGAAATGAACTTTTTAGTTTTGTGACATAATTATAAAGTTTCGGTATACCAATATATAGATATAAAAAGGAAACCATTTCTGTATATGATAAATTCTCGTATTATATAAAGTTTGATTATAAAAAGGGAATCATCTTTTCGCATTTTAAGAAATTAATAATTAAATAAAGAGAATTGAAACTATTTTGATTATATAGGTAAGGAATTGAAACTATTCTGATTAAATAAAGATAATTAAATAGGTAAGGATACAAATTTGTAAAAGCGTCCAGTATGTTCGAAATTCATAAATGTAGCCTCATAAATTCAGAAATTTACTTTTTAATAAAGTAAATTCGAACCGATTATACACAAGTACTTAATAAAGTAGTTATATGTTGATATTATTATCTACATAAGTTAGGTAATTAAATTCGAATATTATAAACTATAATGGGTTAGATTCTAATTAGTGTTAACTAGTGGTTAATAAGTGAAGTACGATAAACTTGAAGAAATAAAATGAATAAATTAAAAGGGTAAAGATTGATGTGTGATTTTTAATAAGTTTAAGTCAGCAACACGAATTGTAGATATACGGATCGGAATTTTATTTTTTTTTAAAAAGTATTACTCTGTATATAATAAGTTGTACTTTTAGCCAATTGGAATGATAGTAATTTGAAATGAAAAGTACTATTATAATAATTATATGAATTTATGAGAAATAATACTAAGAATTTTAATGAATAAAGACAAAGGAATTTGGAACCTTGTTTCTGGATTTGGATAGGTTGTCATGCCAACAGGGATAATTAACACGGCCGTAGAACTTGATCAATGATTTCGGGTCCGTAGTCACCGAGTGGACAGCACCCAAATCTTGATATTTGATACACGTGCGCTTCTATACGGGTCCGTAGCCACCGAGTGGACAGTACCCAAAATGTTCGTTTACGGGTCCGTAGCCACCGAGTGGACAGTACCCAAACGAACCCAATCGGCCAGAGCCACCGAGTGGCCCGTGCCAACATAGTTCTCTGATGGTCCGAAGCCACCGAGTGGACAGTACCAGAGATGAGAACGTCCCGTTTATCCAGTCCATTAAATTAAGGAGTAAAATTCCTGAAAATGAGAAATGCGTAGAAATTTGATTTGGAAATACAAGTTGAGAAAATCGGAATGGTTCATTGAAAAGTGAAAAATGCTAAAAGCATACAGA